CCCCCACCTGCTACGGTTTGGGGAGCCCGCGGTCGCCCGTTTCCCCACCAGCAACCTCATAAGCGTCTGGAGCTGAAGCGGTCTAACAAACTCTTCGCTCCAGCCTCCTCGAATCGTTCCTGACCCGCAGGTCAGAAAAAGGAGAGCTTCCCCCGATTTACGAGGTTGGGACAGACCGCGGAAGCGTTTCTGCCCACCTCTCACTTGCTCTCCTTCTCTAAACCTGTCACTTTCGCCACCCAGCGTGTTTCGAAGTGCAGTTACTACTCAACCTCATTCAAACCGTCTGGCGCAGGAGGACGGAGACGCGTTCAGCTTTCTCCCCTTGCCTCCGACGCGTTTGATACCTGCCACTCGCATCCTCGGAGACACTTTCGGTTTTCCTCAGGAGCAGGCAGACCCTATGATCTTGATCAAACAGGCAGTGGTACCTCCCACTACGTGTCAGGATGTCAAGTGCTCTCACCCTAACACAGGTATGTCCGCCGCATTGCAACACTCCACTTCCTCTATCTCATTTCTTTCAAGAATGGAGGCGTCTGCCAGGGGTATCGCCTTGGATCCTCCGCACGGTTCGGCTCGGCTACACACTTCAGTTCTGTCGCCCGCCCCCTTGCTTCAACGGAGTCTTTCCAAATGTAGTCAACAGCGCCTCAGAGGCTTCTGTACTACAGCAGGAGATTCCGTCCCTTCTCCTCAAGGGAGCAATAGAAGGAAGTCGAGCAAGGCTTCTTCAGCCGTTACTTCTTGGTCCCGAAAAAGGGCGGAGGTCTGCGACCAATACTAGACCTGCGCCGGCTTAATTTCTCCCTTTACAAAGGGAAATTCAAGATGTTGACGCTGAAAGCTATTATATCTCAAATTCGAGCAGGGGACTGGTTCGTGACAGTAGACCTGAAGGATGCATATTTTCATATTCAGGTCGTACGGCGACACAGGAGGTTCCTCAGGTTTGCCTTTGGAGAGAGGGCGTACCAGTACAGGGTCCTTCCCTTTGGTCTCGCTCTAACGCCGAGAACGTTCACAAAGGGTATGGATGCTGCTCTGGCCCCGTTGCGGCTCCAGGGCATCCGTATACTCAACTATCTGGACGATTGGCTCCTTTTAGCCCACTCCAGGGAATTAGTGACTCACCACAGGGACATTGTCCTTCGTCACATTCAGTCTCTCGGCCTGAGGTTGAACACAGAGAAGAGTGTTCTTACCCCAACTCAAAGCACAGTTTTCTTAGGGGTGCGCCTGGATTCCGTTCTGATGCAGGCCCGTTTGGCTCCTGCCCGGATTTCCAGTCTTTTGACATGTTTGGCTCGCTTCACGCTCGGCCATCGTGTTTCTGTGGGCACTTGCCGCAGGCTTCTGGGTCTCATGGCCGCAGCATCCCCTGTGCTTCCCCTAGGGTTGCTCCACATGAGACCGTTTCTGTGGTGGATGAAACTCTCAGGTGCCCGGTCCACAGGACCGGCTCTTCGCCTGTTGAAGGTGTCGCGCAGTTGCTTCCGCGACCTTTCAATTTGGCGGGACCCTCTCTTCCTTCGGAAAGGGGTCGGCATGGGTGCAGTTTTCCGTCGCCAAATGGTTACGACGGATGCCTCTCTGACCGGCTGGGGTGCGGTTTTCGAGGGCAGGCCAGCATGTGGGGTCTGGACTGGAGAGACTCTCTCTTGGCACATAAACAGCTTGGAGCTGAGAGCTGTTTCCCTGGCCCTTCTTCACTTTCTCCCCTTTCTTGAAGGACACCATGTCATTGTCAGAACAGACAATATGGCGGTAGTGTCTCATGTAAACCGGCAGGGGGGTTCACGGTCGCGCACCCTGGACAGGCATGCGCGCCACCTTCTCCTGTGGTCTCAGGGCAAGTTCCTTTCACTGAGGGCAGTCCATGTTCCTGGGATCCTGAACCTCGCAGCAGATTTTCTGTCGAGGCAGAAGCTGGATGTTGAACCGCCGAACAGTAGCCCTGATTTGGGAAGTGTTCGGAAAAGCAGAGGTGGACCTCTTTGCATCACAGGAGTCGTCCCAATGCCCACTTTGGTTCTCCCTGAGCCCCCCAGCACCATTGGGGATAGATGCATTTGCCCACCTATGGCCGATGTAGAAACTTTATGCATTCCCGCCTGTCAAGTTGATCCAGGCAGTTCTGTCCAGAGTGAGGGAGAGCGGAGCCCGTCTCCTACTTATAGCCCCATTCTGGCCGTCCCAGCCGTGGTTCTCGGAGCTGGTTCCTCTTCTGGAACTCCCCCCTTGGGAGATTCCGGTCATGGAGGATCTGCTGTCCCAGCTTCAGGGCAGGATATGTCATCCTCGCCCCGAAATTTGGAAGCTATGCATATGGCCCATCAGAGGCCGCTAGCTCTGAGTTTTGGTCTTCCCGCTGATGTCCAGGAGACCATTGCCAGTGCGAGAGCCCCTTCCACGAGAAGGTTATATTCCTCCAAGTGGAGGGTTTTTGAGTCGTGGTGTTCGACACACACTACGGACCCAGTCAGCTGCGGTTCAGTGCTGGAATTCCTACAGGAGAAGTTTGTTTCTGGAGCGGCCGCTACTACTCTGAGAGTGTATGTTGCTGCTATTGCCGCTTATAGAGAGTCGGATGAGATCCCCCTAGGTAAATTGAGGTTAGTCTCAGCATTTATGCGTGGGGTTAGGCACCTGAAACCAGTACGCTCCCCTGGAATTCCCTCTTGGGACCTGTCGGTCGTCCTGGAGGGCTTAACGGAGGCTCCCTTTGAGCCCTTAGAGTCAGCTCCAGAGCGCATTCTGACTCTCAAGGTTACTCTTTTGTTAGCCTTGGATTCTTTGAAGCGGGTGGGGGATTTGCAAGCTCTTTCTGTTAGCAAGACTTGTATAGACTTCGCTCCTGGTCTGGTCAGGGTGACTGAGACCGAAACCGGGATATGTGCCCAAAGTATTGTCCACAGCATTCCGGTCTCAGGTTAACCTTCACTCTTTCCATCCTCCTTCTTTTGTCTCTGAGGAGGACAAGAAGCTTAATTTGCTCTGCCCTGTCCGAGCATTGAAGTTATACGTGGATCGCTCTGGCGGTTGGAGAAAATCCAACCAGCTCTTGGTATGTTTTGGTGCTGGCCGCCGCGGGCTTGCCGCATCAAAGCAGAGAATTTCCCACTGGGTTACAGAGGCTATTTCACTGGCATATGAGGTGCGCGGTCTGCCTTCACCTCTTAGCATCAGGGCACATTCCACCAGAGGCGTGGCTTCCTAGGTGCCCTCCTGGAAGACATTTGTGTAGCGGCAGGCTTGGTCCTCTCCGCACACTTTTGTCAGATTCTACCGTTTGGATCTTGACATGACTCCAGGTTCCCAAGTTTTATCTGCTTGAACCAGTCGTGTGAGTTATCTGGTCATTGTACTAGTTACGGCAGCGCTTAGCTTGGCGAGTTTGGTATTTCGTTCCCACTGCGTCTTAAGCTACGCAGCGTTGAGTGAACCTATGAAAGAGAACGTCTCTGGTTACTGATGTAACCTATGTTCTCTGAATAGGGAACGGGACGCTGCGTTCGCTGCCAAGCTCCTTGCGCTGCCGACAAGCTTCCTTTTTCGGGAGAGAAATCTGAGAAGCAGATGGCCCGCCCGCGCTAATATAATATGACGACGCAAGAGCGTCGGGGCGGCGCCCGCGCCATCAGCCAATGAATTGGCGTGATTCTATAAGGGCTTCAGACAATCGGCACACCCAGAGGGCGTTCCCACTGCGTCTTAAGCTACGCAGCGTCTCGTTCCCTATTCAGAGAACATAGGTTACATCAGTAACCAGAGACGTTTTCCAGCCAGTCTTTAACAGATACAACTTTTTAATTTAACCCATAAGAAGCCAGACCAATTTCCACTTATAGGAAAATTATGGGGCATATAAAACAGACCATATATAAATGGACCACTTAAAACATGTTTCTGGCGTTGTTTTTTAAATACAACCACTCCTTGTCAAAGATCTGTAATGTTACATATATGTCACATTGGGCGTTTATGATAAATTTTTAATGTTACATATATGTCACATTGGGCTTTTATTTCTCATAAAAAAATAAAAAAAAAATTGTCAGTTTTCTTGCTAAATAACAGTTTTTTTCTGTTTATTTTCTTTTCCACAACATTTTCAAAATTATAACTTTTCTGGGAAGATAAATAAAAAAAAAAATCTTTTTCAGAAGTAATAGTTTTTGCATTTTATTTGCTTTGCCACATATTTCAAAACCACATAACTGTGACCATAACTGTGACCTTTTCAGGTATACGGTTTAATCAGAAATACATTTTTAGATTATTTTTTCACAACTCGAAAATGTGCAAACTGAATAAAAATAAATAACTACCTCACACTGGAGGTCAAACATGTTGAACATGCATGTAGTGCAATAACATTGCAAAAATATACCTTTTCAGGTATACGGTTTAACCAGAAATAAATGTTTTGATTATTTTTTCACAACTCGAAAATGTGCAAACTGAATAAAAATAAATATGGTGTTTTATGTTGCATACCTGTTAAGGTATGCAAAATATTTTCAAAATACATTTCATTAAAGGGTAAACCCTAAACCAACTTTTTTTAGTTAATGATCTGTAAGTGTTTTAATTCTACAATATATGGTGTAAAAACGTCTGAGTGCTGCCCTCTTCAGGTTGAACGGTGGCTACTGCAGTTGAATTTTCCTATTGGAAGTTGTGGTGCCCTGTGACATAAGCAGGCACAAGCTAACCACACCCTTGCCACACTACAGTCCAAATATGGATCATGATGCACTCACTGTTGATTTCATCATTAGGTTTTGTACACAGAATGCTTTAATGTATGTGGCAGTGCAGAAAAATAACTAAAATAAATTGGAGGGCTGCATAAAAATTATTGATGGTCAAGATCTGGTAGGATACCAGTTGAAGACCCCTATCATGGACACATTCAATTGTTAAAGGACATTAGACTTTTATTTGAATCTAATTTAACAGTCTACATAATCTAACACCTATGTACAGTCACTCACAGATCTGTCCAGAACGGTGGGTATAAAGTCATATCCGATGCCCTCCACTTCATACTGGGTTTTATCTGTCCGGTTCAGCTCATCAGGCTCAGCGAGGATCGAGCCCTCTGGATCCACTGCAACAATCTAGCAAAACAAAGACAGACTTCAGACGTGTGAAGACTCATATTCTGTGTTGTCTTGTTACTTTATGCCTTAGTGACTTTTAAAGCTGCAATTTATATGATTTATTATGCAGACTCAATGGTATTCCTATGATGTGGTATACTCTTCCAGTTATTCTCTTTCTGGCTTCTTGGCATTTTAAAATAAAATAGTACTCTGTTTTTTGTTACAAAACAGGTGAATTTCAAAGAATTGCTGTGCATCAGGTCTCAGGGACAATCAGTTTCTACCTTAACATTTGGGCATTTCTCCTTCAATTTGCGAGCAACGCCAGTAATGGTGCCACCTGTGCCAGCTCCTGCCACCAGCATATCTACTTTTCCTGTTGACACAGGTAAGGCGAGTAGAGAGTTAAAGGAATAGTTCACCTCACAACCATTTCATTCATTGTAGAAGCACAAATTAAAGTATTTTTAATGAAATCTGAGAGATATTCGCCCCTCCATTGGATAGCCATTCACCCAAACTATGGTTCAAAACATTCATAAAGAGATTGTAAAATAAAGTGGTTCAGTCCAAGTCCTCTGAAGAGCAAGCGAGCAAGTACGGTTGAGCTTCCATTTATCAAATTTGAGTGCTCTATCTGTTGATCAAGCGATTGTGTCACTTCAGAAGACTTGGGTTAAACCGTTCGATTCATATGGATTTCTTTTACGATCTCTTTATGAACGTTTTGAACCATCAGAGTTTTGGGTGAATGGACGTTCAATGTAGGGACAGAAAACTATCAGATTTCATAAAAGTCTCTTAATTTATGTTCCAAAGATGAACAAATGTCAGTTACACTTTATTTTAAGGTGCCCTTGTTTCAGTGTAATTTTACATTTAAATACTGAGCAATATTAATTAACTACATGTACATGTACATCCTTAGGGCGGTGCAACTTCCAGCGGCGAAACCTCCCCATGGCCACAAACCCCCCACCCCCTGAACGCGATGGAATAGACCAAGGAGAACCAGACCCCGTCCAAACATGATTGCCAACGGACCAAGTGACAACAGACAAGAGTTATGCTGTGAAGATCAAAAGCAGAACAAAGACAGAGAGAGAAAATACACGATAACTACCATCACACTGCTCCAGAATCTCCTCAGCAGTGGTGTCATAATGAGCCAGGGGGTTGCTGGGATTGCGGTACTGATCCAGGATGTGCGAGTCAGGAATCTCATTCTTCAAGCGCCAAGCCACACCCACATGGGACTCCGGGGAGTCAAACCGCGCACTGGTGGGAGTTCGGACTATCTCAGCACCCAAAGCTCTCAACACGTCAACCTATGATGAGACTCTTGTTTAACTTCATAAAATGTAACATTCTTGGTGGGCTAAGAAAACTAATTGGGATAAATCTTACCTTCTCCATGCTCATTTTCTCAGGCATAACAATTATGCAGCGATAACCCTTCACTGCTGCAGCCAGTGCAAGACCAATACCTGCATAGAATGCACAAATTTGTTAGACCTTCAGACCTGATTTTTTTTTTTTGTAAGAACATTTTTCTTTTTTTTCCCCCCAATTTTTTTTGTTTTTATTCAATATTTTTCCATGTCCACTACAATGGACACCATGACTAAAGAAAAATAAAAATTCTCATATTTACATTTATGCATTTTTTTGGCAGATTTTTTTTTGCCTTTTTCTTATCAGTTCTTGCTTTCCCTGGGAATCAAACCCATGACCTTGGCGTTGCAGGCGCCAACGCTCTACTGTTTGAGCTACAGGAAAGCCAATACTCATATATTGTTTAAGATTTTGAAAAGAACATACAGTACTGTAACAATGAGCAATTCAATAGGAATGTAAAAGGTAAGATGAAGTATCAAAACCATGTTTGACAAAACAGAACATCAGTCTGTAAATAATAAAATGCCCTGTGGGATTACCTGTATTTCCAGAAGTGGGCTCTATAATGGTGTCTCCAGGTTTGAGAATGCCATCCCTTTCTGCATCCTCCACCATACGCAGACTGATGCGGTCCTTCACACTACCACCAGCATTAAAGAACTCACACTTGGCCACTGCAGACAAACAAAACTTAATGACAGTTTTATGTAACAATAAATCCACATAGGAGGGAAAACTACTTCAATGGACACAAGTATATGTCTATACTCCCTTGTCTTTCAAATATTTTGTCTTTAAAGGATACCAAGTTTTTGAAGTTTCTCATTTGTAATACTCCTTCTGTGATTAAATGGTATTGACTTTGAATTAATTGATTTACAACTTCAAAAGTAAAAATATGAATTCATCACTTACAAAGTTCACACTTTAGTCCAAAAGTCTTAGAGATCTTGTTTATGCGGACCAGCGGTGTGTCTCCAATCCTGTCCAGGATGTTGGGCAGAATGCCTACAGCTTTTGTCCTCCAATGGTGAAAAAAAAAAAAAACCAAAAAAAAAAAAAAAAAACAAATACCACTCAAGGTCACTTGAAGAAAAACAAACTCACATTAAGGTCATTTTGTCATAAAAATCTTAAAGGAGTATGCTGTCAAATTTCCGTTGTGAGTTCTTTGACATCTGGTTAAAATATACAGGATGAGACTGTCACTAAATAAAAATAATAACAGGTAAAAATAAAAACAAGTCATGTACTTATGAATACATGCACGAGACTGCAATTGCTTCAGTGTGTGGACACTGTTCTAACACCTAAAACAATATTACTTGAAATATCTATACAGAATAATAAAGATCTCTCTCTCTCTCTCTCTCTCTCTCTCTCTCTCTCTCTCTCTCTCACACACACACACATTTTCTGTAATGTGTATATATATATATATAAAGTAACAAATATATTGCTTATCGAATATTGCTAAGTCCATTACAGTGGACACATTTATGTAACACATTTATTTTGCAGATAAGTTTCCTAATAAGGAGATATTCCTGAGAAGTAAACAGAAATGTTTTGTTTAGTTTAGGCTCAGCTTTTTTAGTACGTGTCATTTTCCTGTCACTTGATTTTAAATTAGAAATCTTGTAATTTTAGGTTAGATTCTGAAAGTGAGTGATCATTACCTGGGAAAGTATTTGTGAGGGGACTTTTCATGAGACATTCCCGGTTTCCAGGTACATCTACTTGGCAGGTCAGGACGAATCCATTTTAGGTCAGCGGCCCCAGTTTCTCTATTAGGCTGCTGGGGTCTGTCTACATCATCCGAAACCAACTTGTTCTCTACACCATTCCTGCCAGTGGTCTTCTTGCCAGCAAAGGGGCAGGCAGGGGTGTCTTTCTCTTGGTTGGATGGGCCTGAAGGCATGATTTCTCTATAGTTCCCTGTAAAGAGTTTTAACGTTTAACCCAGGATAATTTGTTCACAATGGATTTTACACATTGTAGATTAAGACATGAATGAACATGTTTATAATGAATGTGATTATACACAAGATACATAATGGAGACATTTAATTTAATCTTAATCAAAAGTAGCAGCAGTTCCTACATTATCACCCATTTATTTAGTCAAATGTCCAAAGACTTTGTAACTGGCACACTTCCAGGCTGCCGGCTTTGTACTCATTCCAAAGGCAAATATCACCAAAACATCAAAGCCCACAATGAGAAAGTACATAATCCACAGAATTAACAAGAAAGCAACAGAGTGCTGCAATGATGATGTATTTTTGTAGATCAAATAAGATTTATCCATTGGCTTTTGGATTATTGCCTAAATTCAAGGAGACGGAGACCAGAGACGATGGAAAAACACACGGAGAGCAGCAGCTTTTGTTTCAGCTCTGATAGCCGCAAGACCATGCCGAACGTGGTGAGTGCGAAAACAAGCTCAAATTGTTTTAGACCCTGCTTACACCAGTATTTAGCGTTGTTCAATTGTGATCCGATCAACCAAAACGCATCTTAATAGCAGGTGTAAACAAGGCCTATATCACTTTATCAAGCAACATCAACACAATGACATGAGGAGCCATGACAATTCAAGCCTTTAGGATACAGTGCATGTTGATACACTCCAATCCCCCAGACAATCATAAGTTTCTAGGATGAAGTTGTATCAAATAAGAAAATGCCAAACAAATCTGACGCCTTAAATGCACATAGCTTAACCATTAGGTTAATTCCAGAGTATGAGAACCATTAATAGATAACCCAAGAAGCCATGCATATAATACACCAGCTGTTAAAACTTTGAGCCTCTCCAAGATGGCAAGCATGCTTGACTGATTTAATGTGAAATGGCCACAATACAATGCAAGCTAAAATGGTCTTTGTGTGTCCAGAAAAAATGTGTTTGAGGTTGACCCATTCACGCAAAAGTGCAGTAAGTTTCAGGCCATATTCAAGCACTTAGAGCCTAAGGCAGGGATCCTCAAATCCGGCCCTGGAGAGCCACTATCCTACAGAGTTTAGTTCAGACCGTGATCAAACTCAACTCTGCAATTTTCTAGTAACTCTGAAAACCTTGATTAGCTTGTTCAGGTGTGTTTCATTAGGGTTGGAAGTAAATTCTGCTGGGCAGTGGCCCTCTAGGGCTACGTCCACATTAATCCGGATACATTTGAAAACGTACTCGGTTACTAACGTAACCTCGGTTCTCTCTAGAGAGGGAACGAGTACTGCGTAATAGCTTTACGCTAGGGGAAACACTCTTTTCCACGAGATATTGAAGCCAAAAATTATCCTTAATTTTTTATTAATGTAAAACGCTTTGCAGCAGCAAGCAGACATAGGCGAAACAGCTCGCGCGCCTATTGGTTGCTCTTGCGGCAAATGCAGCAGCCTATCGAGAGAGACTCTGCGTGACGTAATGACCAATGGGGGCAATTCGCGCCCATATCGTCACGTCCCGCCAGAAAGGGCGTGGTCTCACCCTATAAATATGCTCGTTAGGCTGGTACAAGCTGGTTTTTATCGCTGAAGCGAACCAGAGCGTATTCCAAGCACGGCAAGATACGCAGTACTCGTTCCCTCTCTAGAGAGAACCGAGGTTACGTTAGTAACCGAGTACGTTCTCTTACGAGAGTATCTCTCGTACTGCGTAATAGCTTTACGCTAGGGGAACACAATGCAACACGCCGTGCGTACAGGGATCCAACACCAAAGTCCCAAGGGCCGAAGCCCAGGGCTCATGTAGTGCATAATCACCATAAACTCACATAGAGTGGAGGAAGAGAGGCTGGAAGCGTCATTCCCTATAAAAAAGCACCCAGCGGGGCTATCATATGACAATAAAACGCGCAGCCAGGGTGAAAGCTTTCAGCCTGATCTGGGTGGCCATACGTGTGTCAACACTCATGGGGCTGCAGTAAACTCAGCATCTGGGCCGCACAGCGGGGCAGATAGCACTGAATTTTAGACCGCCAAAAGCTTAGCTTGTAAGGCGGGTACCTCCAGGTTATAGTATTTTATAAATGTAGACGGCGAGGCCCAGCCCGCGGCCGTACAGATATCTTGCAGGGAAACCCCGCTCGACCAAGCCCACGAAGAGGCCACGCCTCTCGTGGAGTGCGCTCTGACACCCAAGGGGCACTGTAGGCCCTTTGCAGAGTAAGCGAGCGCAATGGCATCCACTATCCATCTGGATAGGCTCTGTTTTGAGGCGGCGAGTCCCTTGGAACGCCCGCCAAACAAAACTAAAAGCTGCTCCGTCTGTCTGAAAACAGACGAGCGTGACACATAAGCTCTCAATGCCCTGACGGGGCAAAGGAGACTCGCGTCCTCCTCCTCACTGAGAACCGGAAGGGCGGACAGGGAAATTACCTGGGCCCTAAACGGTGTATTGAGGGATTTCGGGACATACCCGTGCTTAGGTTTGAGAATGACCTTCGAGTCATTAGGCCCAAACTCCATACACGACGCACTTACTGAAAGCGCCTGCAAGTCCCCTATGCGCTTCACTGAAGCGAGAGCCATGAGAAACACTGTTTTGAACGACAGGTGTTTCATGTCCACCAGCTGGATTGGCTCGAACGGGGCGCCTTTCATGGCCTCCAGGACCGTGGAAAGGTCCCACGTCGGGACTGAAGGGGGCCTGGGAGGGTTCAGCCTCCGAGCTCCCCTAAGGAAACACACGACTAAGTCGTTTTTCCCCAGCGACTGGCCAGACACCGGTTTTGCAAACGTTGCTATGGCCGCCACATATACTTTGAGCGTGGATGGGGTCCTGCCCTTATCCAGTAGCTCTTGAAGGAAGGAAAGCACTTCCGAAACCCCGCATTCCACAGGTGAAAAGCTCTGGGCTTGACACCATGCAGAGAAAACAGACCATTTCGAGGAGTAGAGCTGCCTGGTAGACGGAGCTCTAGCCTGCGCGATCGTGTTTAACACTCCTTCTGGGAGGCTAGCGGGTACCCGTTGATGGCCCATGCGTGCAGGGACCACAACTCCGGGCGAGGGTGCCAAATCGAGCCCTCCGCCTGAGAGAGGAGGTCTCTCCTCAATGGTACAGGCCATGGGGCAGTGCTGGTAAGCTGCATCAGGGCAGGGAACCACGTCTGGTTTGTCCAGAGCGGAGCTACGAGCAGCACTGGGCATCCGTTCTCCCTGATTCGTTCCAACACCTGAGGCAGGAGCGAGACAGGAGGAAAAGCATATAGGGGGCAGCGGGGCCAAACATGAGCCAGCGCGTCCTTGCTTTTCGAGAAAAACTCCGGGCAATGAGCGTTTTCGTGGGACGCGAATAGGTCCACCTGTGCTCTGCCGAACGTTTTCCACAGCAGCTGGACCGTCTGCGGGTGCAGCGACCATTCCCCTGCTGGAACATTGTTCCTGGACAGTCTGTCTGGTCCCACATTCAGGTGACCAGGCACGTGCGCTGCTCTCAGTGAGAGCAGGCTGTGCTGAGCCCAGACCAGGAGGCGTTCCGTCAGCCTGTGAAGGTTTCGTGACCTGACGCCGCCCTGGCGATTTATGTATGCCACCACTGACATGTTGTCCGACCGGACCAAGACGTGGTGGCCTGTTACCTGGGGACAAAAACGCCGTAGCGATTTGTCGACTGCTATCATCTCCAAGCAGTTTATGTGAAGGAGCTTTTCCCGTTCTGACCACAGGCCAGCTAGCGGTCTGCCCTCGAGCAGCGCTCCCCACCCCGAGGTGGAGGCATCCGTAGACACCACCTTCACACTCGAAGCGGTCCCCAGACTCACACCTGACTGATACCAGTCGGTTATTTTCCAAGGTTCCAGAGCTGAAACACACTGTAGGTTGACCCTGAGGCGAAACAGACCCGCTGTCCATGCCCTGGGTGGAACCCGCGCTTTCAGCCACATCTGCAGTGGGCGCATGCGAAGCAAGCCCCACTGGAGTACAGAGGCCGCTGAGGCCATCAGCCCCAGCATTTTCTGAAACCTTTTGAGCGGAACTATCGAGCCGCGGCGGAAGGATTTCGCGACGCGCTGAATATTTAGTCCGCGCTCTGGTGACAGGCGTGCCGTCATGGATAGCGAGTCTAACACTGTTCCCAGAAAGGAAATTTTCTGACTGGGAGACAGTGAGCTCTTCGCCCAATTGACTGTGAGGCCCAGCTCCTCGAGGTGCTCGAGTAATGCGGCCCTGTGTTCTATGAGCTCCGATCGTGATCGAGCTAGAATCAGCCAATCGTCCAAGTAGTTCAGGACTCGCATGCCCTGAAGTCTCAGGGGTGCGAGCGCCGCGTCCATGCACTTCGTGAATGTACGAGGTGCTAGGGACAGGCCGAACGGCAGGACTGTGTATTGATATGCCTGGCCCTCGAAAGCGAATCTCAAGAATCGCCTGTGATGGGACGCTATTTGTATTTGGAAATAGGCGTCTTTCAGATCTATTGACATAAACCAGTCCCCGTGGCGCACTTGCGCGAGGATTTTCCTGGTCGTAAGCATTCTGAACTGGCGCTTCACAAGCGCTCTGTTCAGCTGTCGCAGATCTAAAATGGGTCTGAGACCTCCATCTTTTTTCGGTACCAGAAAATATCTGCTGTGTAGGCCCCCTTTGCTCTGAGCTTGAGATAAAGGTTCTATAGCACCTTTGCTCAGTAGTTTCGCTATCTCGGCTCGAAGTAGATGAGATACTTCGTTTTCCACCGCCGTCTCGACGCGCGCCGTATAACGGCGGGGACGTCGAGCGAACTGTAGCGAATAGCCTCTTTTTATAGTGTTCAGCACCCATTCTGATACCCCAGGAAGCTGTGCCCACACTTTCTAGTGAATAGCTAGGGGTAGAATGAGATCTGGGCTCTGGCCGAGACATAGTGACGGCAAGAGAGCTCCGGCGTGCTGTAACGCAGACACTGTGTTTACAGTGTGTGAGGCGGGGGGCGCGCCGATCGCGGCGGGCAG